AACTCACTCACCTGCCAGAACAGGGGCAATATCACTACACAAATTTTACACCGTGATTTGAAATTTTGATGGGGGGGGGGCAAGCTTTCGGGCGCCGAAGCAAATTTCCGTCTCGTAAACGGTCGTCGCCTTTCCGAACGGTCGTCGCCTTTTTTCAGAACGGTCGTCGCCTTTCGGAGCGGTCGTCGCCATTTCCGATCGACCGAACTTCAGTTCCGAATATCCGCGACATGTTCGGGACTTCCCCGAGTTCTTTAAATGTGTGAAATCACACTTCCTGAAGATAACATCGCGACCGAAGACGGGCCAGAACTTGGCTAGGTGGATTGAAGTTGCGTGGGTGCTAGTACATGTATTATAATTATAAGTTCCGGGGGTTGAATTATGTAGGTTAGAACTAGGTTAGTGTTTGAGAAATTCTCGATTGGAACGGGAAGGGTTTGGGTAACTCTGAACTCGAATGTCTCTGGGTATTTATTTTTCTTGTATGTGAACATGTCCTCTCCCTTTTTTCTTTGTTTCCTTTTGAAATGCGAATAAACATTATTTGAAAAAAAAAGCCCTCTGAACTAGAACGTTTGTAGGTTTTCATACATTGCTGAATTTGAAACGGGGGCGAGAAAAACTCCACATGTATTTTTGGAACAGCCCATTGTGCGAGCATGTAATTTATGAATGCTGCAGGATGGTCTGACTCAGAAACATTCATTCGGAAGCACCATCACACATGCAGGCATTTACTCTGACCAAGGACATTATGTCCTGACTGACTGACTCACAACTCCACCACAGCCGGGTTTTATTTTGTTGTCTCAGTGCTTGCCCAGCATAGCAGGCCATTTCACACTTGTCACCAGCATGACATTGATGTGCTACCCAGTGAATGTGTCGTATTTACATACAGTGCAGTGGTGAATGTGTCAAGTATTAACATTCAGCAAGGTAACAAAACATAGACATTTCGGGATGAAAATAGCTTTACAAGTTTGTCAAAACTCCTGTCAAAGTAAGACATTGTCCCCCTTCTAAAACAGCAGGTCCTTTATTAATCCTACATGAATTTTACATAAACGAAAGGAATACATACCACAGGGATTGAGAAATATAGCACAGGGACGGAATCTATGTTTGTTTTTGGTTGAAGATTCATTTGTCATTTGTATAAACGGCATTATATGAACCCTTCTTCAGTTTGTTGGCGAATGGAAACAAGAATAGGCTGGAGAAGATCCAGGCCTAGGATCGTATGCTGATCTTATAAAATCAGCAGTTGAGGAGACAAGTTACTTTTCTGGCCCGCCTACGGTCGCCATGTTATGGACTGAGTGCGATTCACACATTCCAAGAACTCCGGGAAGTCCCGAACATGCCGCGGATATTCGGAACTGAAGTTCGGTCGCTCGGAAATGGCGACGACCGCTCCGAAAGGCGACGACCGTTCTGAGAAAAGGCGACGACCGTTCGGAAAGGCGACGACCGTTTACGAGACGGAAATTTGCATCGCCGCCCGTATGGTTCCACCGGGACCGGCAAGACATGTCGGCGGCGGCGGACGCTTTCATGTGCCGAGGGGCGGGGCGAACACAGCCCGGTACCGTCTGGTGAAGTCATGAATGGGAAACGAAGAAAACAACAGCTGTTTGATTGAAACACAGCGAGATGTGGTGATCGTGTTTTAAAGGGGGTGCGAAAGAATTCATACCGATTTTACGGAATTCATACGAATTTTACGGAATCCATACGAATTTACGGAATCCATATGAATTTTACGAAATATATACGATTCATTGCAAGGAAATATACGAATTTTACGAAATATTAAAATACGATTCAATACAAGGAAACATAGTAATTTTACGGAATATATACGATCCATTACGCGGAAACATATACGATCCTTACTAATTTGGTGACCTGCGCCTGGATCACCAAGGACATAGCTCTCATTATTTTCAAAACCCGTATGAGAATTATGAAGTACTTGTAAAATATATACATACGTGTGACATATTTATACCAAGACATTGTATTGGGGATATATAACGTTACATGTATACATTCGACTTCTTTTGTAATTGTGTGAGTGCTTATTTCATTCACCACTTGCCACAAGGCTTGTCCACATTGCAAAAATAACAACCAACAAGACACAAACAATATGTACAGTAGTGCCACACACATCCAAACTATATATACTCTCCAAGCAGATGTATCAGTCTCTCTTTAGTGATGCAGAAAAGAACACACTGGAGTTTAAGCAGAACATATTTGTGTTAAGCAGAAACGAGAGATTATGATCTATCGATGCTTTTGTTACTTTTAGGCTTTCCATTTTTACAATTTTCTTATGCTTTCTTCTTACTATTCTTGTAATTTCGACTGTCTAACGAATTTCAGCTTTTTTTTATATTCAGCATCAAGCACCTGCAAATGTAATCTATTTCAGGCAAAAGATGCTTCGGAAAGCGAACACAAAAAGGTGACCGGGCCCAGGGCTCGAACTTAACTTTTTTCCCTACTGTCCCAGAACTGTCCCAAAAATAAATTCCAACTGTCCCAAAGTGAGGATTGACTGTCCCAAACTGGTTTTCAGGAAGTATGTATTACAACAACAATAAAGCTGAGTCAGAGAACAGTATTGCTGTGTAAGCTAATTGTCAATTGAAATAAACACAAAATCAACTCAAATTGAAACTTGTCTTGGCTGGTTTATTGTGCCGACTGTTATATATGCTGGATGCTGCTATAGAGATGACCACACTAGACCACGGCTTGGGCCAGACTGATCAGCAGAGACACAAGGTCCCTAGCTGTCCTTTATTAATTGACACCAGATGTGACACAAGTCCTACCCCCTACACTGGCCCCCCTTCACAAAATGTGTCGTCCTCGACACATATATACTGAGGGGCGGAAAAACAAAAACAACTAAAAACAACGAACAGCAAACTACATCAAACAAATGCTACAGTGGCTAACCGCTAATCTATAACTAAAAGTGTTACCGCTGTAGTGTTATATATGCTGGATGCTGCTATAGAGATGACCACACTAGACCACGGCTTGGGCCAGACTGATCAGCAGAGACACAAGGTCCCTAGCTGTCCTTTATTAATTGACACCAGATGTGACACAAGTCCTACCCCCTACACCGACAAATGTAACAAAGACAAGCCAAAGTTCTTTTCAAACTTTCTTTCCATTTTCTTTCCTTCCACTTGTTATGTGTAGGCTACAGCAAGTGGCCCCTGTAAAGTGTGCATACTGCATGCTGCACACTGCAGTACTATATTATACTGCATGTATTACAATTCACAAATATTTACATGTTTAAATGTTTTACATTTCAAGCCCCCTCCCCCTTCCGTCGGCGCATCCCTCTTTCGTACCGGCCGTACGATCTGGAGGCTGACACTCAGTTGTTGAAACCACGCCGTCAGACTGAGATGATCCTGAACGTCTTTGAGGATCGACAGCATTGACTGCATTCGACGCCGGGGCCGCTCGCGGCGAGGAGAAAAAAGAGGAAATTTTCCTCTGTGCCATGCCGGCCATGACTCTCAAATTTTCTGATTTCGGCTGTTTTCGGCATTCCATTCGTCATTTCGCGGGAAACTAGGCGAAGTTTACCGAAAGACACCGTACATTCCCGAGCTTTGCCGGTTCACTATATTTGGCATTGTCAGCTGATCTCCCGAGCATCTCCGGAAATATCCGAACATTAAATAGTTACAGTTCGCCATATATGGCAGATGCCTTGATTGGATGGAAGCTGTGATTGGTTGAATGTTGTTTACATGGATAGAATGTCTGGGAACTGGCGTGGAAAAGTGGCGCCAAGGCGGCGGGCTGCAATAGATCAAAGGCGATGGGCGGGGCGACAAAATAGTGGCCACATGCGTACACGGGTGCCACACGCGCTGCTCAGCTGAGTGTATATCGAATTCGGCGGCTTTTGGTGAGGCCCAAAAATGGGTTGCGCGCCTGACAAACGTATGAACGGCTGACATTCTGATTGTGAATGTTCGTTATTTTTCCAGTGTCCCAAAAATGTCCCAAAGTGATTTTTCAGTTGTCCCGGCCGAAATTTTAGTGGCCAGGGGACATCGGGACATCGTTAAGTTCGAGCCCTGCCGGGTCTTGTGTTGTGACCACGAGTGACCCCATATTTATATGTATAATGTTACAGCTGTTCTGTCGATCAGTCAACGCAACAATCGTCTTTGACTAAACACAAGAACGCTTTTAAAAGCTTTAAAAATAATTTCTCTCGTCATTGCCTTTCCCCTGTCGTTCTCCGGTTGTTACGAGGACCAAATATATGAAAAGTCACACGTGCCAGTGTACACTATAGTACTACAATAGCGTGGTCCTTTGACTTGAGGTCAGAGTACAGAGACTGGCTACCTCCACAGAGATCACAAATAACTGGCCGTAGTACTAGAAACAGCGAGATGCTAGACTGTCCGAGAGCAAGAACAAATAGATACAAGAACTCGCCCATACCGTTTATGGTCCAGCTCCTCAATAACTATGGACTGAACCCCTGACTGTTGTTTTTCTAATATGTAGTACACTGCTTCTGTATCAAATGTTGTCCAGGAAATTTATAATGTATGGAACATGTATTTTTATTGGTTTGTTAATCGTACGCCTATATTGATTGCAAACCTGTAGTTTTTAATATACTAATGTTTTGTAAATTGGTTTACAATTCAGTTGTTTTTAACTGCGAAGAACCAATAAATCCATCTTGAATCTTGAATCTTGCTTGAACGTTTTCAATACTGTTTAAAACACACGGCTAACTGATGCTGCTAAATCTATTTGAGAGGTTTACTTGATGGCCCTGAACATGTCAGTGTCATAATGATGTAATTGGGGAAGAGTAGGGATGGGAAAGATTTGAGGAAAGGAAAGTTTTCTTGCCCCACTGATATTTAATTAATAACCAGTGAACCAGTGTAACCATCGAGCTGGATGGAAGAGGATCATTGGTGGCCTCCGCACGGGGCCAAGGGCCCAAGTAAGTAAGTAAGTAAGTGTGAGACGCAACCTTGTGGAATTCTATGAAACTGCACGCCGATCAGTTGTTGATTGGTTAGCGAATATGATCAACTGATATAATTCAGGCAAATGAGGATCTTCTTTGCAAAATTAATGGGAAACAATCGTCAAGTTTAACATCATTTGGCGAAGATATGAGTTTTTTTTACGCTGTTAGCCAACCCCCACGTACTGATGACAACACTATAATGACTAAACACCCGGCCTTGCCCCTTCCTGCAAGTGTTTATATGCAAATTATTCGTATTTTGTACAATCCATATTCTAAATATACGGTTAAAAGTATAAAAAAAATGCTCTAATTATCCCTTGGAACGGCGCAAATCTGGTAGGGTTTGGGTGCAAGAACAACACCCAGGGTGCCTTCCATTGACGGTGCAGGGGCGCCCTCTGGCAGTTTGAATGTGAAGTGCTGCAGCAAGGTTGCCAAGAAGATGAACAGTTCCATCTTGGCCAGTTGTTCACCAAGGCACTGACGCCGTCCTAGAAAAGAGTTGAGAGAACAAGAATTAAATATGTATACATTTTCTTTTATTACTATCATCTTTTAATATTCATAAAGAAATAAATAATGTATTTTTTGGTTATGATGGCATCAAACCTCTATACGTAAAAATACTACAAAATGTAGTACATTGTTTTTATCAAGGAGATTGGGTACAAGCAGAAGCTGTATTGATGCTGCATTGCACTTGGAGCTTTTTGAAAAAGCATCATGGTTCAATGTAGTTGAGGCTGACAAAAGAAGAAAAAGAGCTGATCATATGTAATAGCTAACTTCCAAGGAAATAACTAATAAATTGTTTGAACAATAACTCACCCAGTGAGAAAGGAATTAACCACTCAGGACGGATGAGTGATCCTTCTTCGTCAAGGAACCTGCTAGGGTTGAAGGTTTCGGGTTCCGGTGCCACTTCCGGGTCCATCATGGCCGACCACAGGTTGGGGATGACGAAAGTGTTCGCCGGGATGTCGAATCCGCGCAGAACGGTCGCAGTGGAGGTGGTGTGAGGAACACTGAGCGGTGCGATGGGCCGAATCCGCTGGATTTCCAGGATGGTTGCCTCGGTATAGGGCAGCTTCCCTCGCTGGGACAGGCTCGGAGGACTGGCGCCGAACTCTCGGTCAATCTCCTCCTGCACTTTTTGCTGCACCTTTAAATGAGAAATGCATAATGTTTACCTTCGCATATGGTATGCTTTGTTCTGTTAATTCTCACTCAAACACATTCACATATATGGTGACAGGAGTCTAAATCCCTCCTGCTGTCAAATTGCAACAGGATGTAAAATTGTCACTGACGAACAGTGCCACTGACGAAAGGTAGTGGATGCTACCTGAAACGTCTGACCGTTATTCAAAAATCATATCCAGTTGCTTGAGTAACTGATTTTTTGCATAAAACAAACAAAAACAAATAAGCAACAAACAAACCTCCAGATGTCGCGCCAGATAGAGCAGTCCCCACTTCAGGGTCGTAGCTGTGGTTTCTGCTCCTGCGATGAACAAGTCCCTCACCGTGTTGATCATCCCCATTTCTGAAATGGAACTGTCCGCTCCATCCGGGGTCTGCTGTTGAGTCTCCATCAAGTACACGTCTATAATGTCCCGGATGTCGGAGGGGTCGAAAGTCTCCTGGTGTTCTTCGATCTTGGCTTTGATGAATGCAATGATCTGTTTCATTATGTTTATTCGTCTGCTTTGTTCCTTATTGAAGTAGGGCAACTTGCGGACCAGGGGGATAAACCGAGCGATAGACGAACCTCGTCCGCCAGAACCACTTACAATCTCCGACATCCAAAGCATGAGTCTCTGAAACTCCGTGTCGTTGTACTCGAATCGCTCGCCGAATGCCATGAAACAGATGACGTTAGAAACGGCGTTGGAGAGAAGGAGCGACGTGTCCGTTGCAGCGCCTTCTTTTTCCGCAATGATGTCACACAGGGTGTGTGCCTCCTCTATGATCCTGCCCTCCAGACTACGTTTGCCCATACCGAACTGACGTAGAGCGGTCAGACCTAGTTTGCGTTTCACCTTCCAATCGTCTCCATACTGTGCCATAGCAACTCCTACGGAATAATTACCTTTTAGCAAAGGATCTTCATTGACACTTCGCAAGCTTACACATCTAGTCATTGTATTCTAACGATCATAACTGTAAATGTACTGACACCTCTGTAAATAGCCTCACAATTCAGCCCTTAACAGCTGGCAAAAGGAATGTATGTCTTGCTTCAAGAACTAACAAACCAGTCTACTACCGGTACTACTAGTCGTGATTTATATGTGTATACTACAAATGTACTACTCAACTCTCCTGCATTACATACATGTATATAACTCATCATTACTCATGATATTCAAACTTCAGCTCAACAACAAGCATTAAACAATACCTCCCGAGAAACTTTCTTTCCCAATGAAACGTTAGACAGCCGGATTCACATATTAAGATATCTGTTTTCTTTTATTATACCTTGGTCCTTGTCCGTGCCTATGAATGGAGGAGGTCGGTCAGAAAATACTTCAGGTTGCTTGACCAGCGCGTCCTGGATGGCCTTGTGCCTGTAATGTAGACAGATTAATGTTTCCACACACTTATATGATGGTGGGAATTAAGGTATGTAGATGAAGGTAGTCGTAGGACACTGTGGGTACAGTATTTTGATAGCTTGTAAATCAATGTAGTAATACCTGTGCTGGTCATTTGGGGGACAAGAGGTGACCGTGTCTACCATGTTCAACCAACGTCGCCAGAGTGATTTTTCAAACATCATCATTGTTAATGTTTATATGCATGAATGGGATCCCAACTTCGAAAGACTCTTTCCAACTGGTCAGTATTCAAAACCGCCAGAGGGTTTCCCTAAGCACTGTAGCATGCAAACCTGTTCTACAGAACAGAATAATAAATACGTGGTATACAATAACAAAGAGCTACTATACAGGCTTTTCACTAGCGCCATGTTGGAGTACAGAGATGTCTGTTAAACATGCCAACATGCTGCTACTTAATCAATTTACCCGCCAACACCTGGTCACCGGGATTCAAATGGTAATTATCATGACGTCAATGAAAAGCCTCTATACCAAAAGCTTTGTAAGTGGGGCATTCATTTGGGTCTTCATTGCCGTTGCCCCCCCCC